TACTTGTGTATGGTCCCTGACTGATTTTTTCTGTGGGTCCAGAGGCCCCTGATGCAAAACAGATTCGCCACTCTGGGCTAAAGGGTGTTTGCTTAAAACCTCTAAGATGACAACTCAAACATTTGCTTGTCTTTAATTTGCACCAAACTATTCATAAACAGTCCAATTCTGCTGTTTGACAATGCATCAGCTAAGGATGTTAAATTTAGATAATCCCAGCACTAAATCCTGCTCCCCTTCTTGCTGCCTGATAGAGGGGGGAAAGAAGCTAGTTAACTAGTGACTCAACTATCTGATAAGCCTTTGCTTATCAGACACAACTAGTTGTTGCTTTCAGCCAATTTGAATGCCTGCTTAAAGATGGGTGATAGAGATGCAGCCGTGTTAGTCTAGTCTAGCTGAAACAAAAGACAGGAGTATGCAGCACTTTAAAGACTAACAAGACGGTTTATTAGGTGATGAGCTTTTGCTTAAAGATGGTTTTCTCTCTCTCCTACATGTACCATTATGGAGTTGAGTAACTCTTTGAAGTTTCACTACATCTAGTTATTGTGTGATATAAATACAGTATGGAATTTTATTTTTAGATGCTTAATTTAGCTCTTAAGTCTGTATAATACTTCTGCTTTTGAGTTGATATTGTGTATGCTGCAGATATGATTGCTGCCTTGATATTTTAGTGATCAGACTAATCACTTGCTGTATTAAAACTGTGCAATGGACTTGCAATCTCTTAAATACTTTCCTTTCAAATAGTATATTTCTGAGTGGCCTTTATCCTCAAAACTATTTGTTGGTGCTAACTCTATTGAGTCTTTTAATGTGGTAGAATTTTCAAAAGCCCAGTGAACAGATTTGTAAGTGGAAGCTATTGTTTGTTGTGGAGTAACTAACTTAAAATAGTTTCCAGGCTTAAAGTGCACAGCTATTATGGAAATAGTTCTCCTGTATTTGTAAATGGATTTTGCTATAACCGCTTTCATGAGATGTATCTTTTTTTTCATTTGCAGGTGATTCTGACATCATTAGAAGCATGCCAGAGCAGACCAGTGAAAAGTAAAAAATGGAAAAATGGTCCTTCTTTCTATAATAAAACTGGTTATAGACTTGTTTTGAAGAATTGTATTTTGTATTAATTATATTGTTTGGGGCACAAGTTTACAAATAGAGACTGATTACTATTACTGTGCCTCCTTTTCATTTATAATTGTTTTCTGCAGGAAAAAGTGTAACATTTTTATAGGCTTTGGATTTGAATAGGGCACGTGGAATAAGAGTCCCTGAAAATTCTAACTTTGTGCTTTATTTTGTTTTTGAGTGGTTAATTCAATGGGAGTAGGTCTTGAAACTGCCTTAAAAATCAATTTAATCGGAGATAAGCCTGAGGTGTGGAAACAAAATGGAGCTTATAAGAATGTTTAAAAATATAAAGACAAAAGAGGCTATTTGAAGTAAAAATTCTTCAAGATCCATGGAAGAGAAGATTTTTTTTTTATTCCAAGAGGAATGTTGGAATTTTTTACATAGGGTATGACTTAACCATAAAATCCTTATTAAATCACATGACTTTATTAAATTAAATGGTTGAAGAGGTATTTAACATCTCTAAATGTGCCTAAAAAACCCTAAATAATAAGCAGTTTACTCCACAAGTAAACTGTTTTATAAGCATTTAATCACGATGCCTACGAAAGGTCTAGGCACCATGGTTTTAATCATGTATTGGTCGGCTTAAACTCAGTCGGGTAGGTATAAATGAGGAATCCTTGAATCTATTTTTTGTTACATTTTATCAAACAAGTGATGTCATTACCAATTATCAGACCTTCACAAATGCCAGATGAAAACTTCATCTACAGCCCGTTACTTACTACAACTGGTATCCAATTATTTGTCACTTCTTTGCTTTAGCTGAAACCATAAATGAGAGAACACTGGTATTTTGAAAGGTCAGTGCAAATTTGACAACTCTTCTTTCCCAGGATTTCATTATTTTTGGTTTCATGTTTTGGTCTATGTATGTTAATATCAAAACTCAGTGTAAAAGCCTAGTTCACATGAGATTTGCATGGACCTACATTTTTAAAGGGAGAATTCATTTCAATATATCAGAACAGTGTCTCTCAAAATCTGAGAAGTAGCAATGAGGCATAGGGTTATTTTAATATGACGGGTTGTGGGACCCAACTTCACACCTTAAGGCTATGTCTACGCTGGTGGGTTCTTGTGCAATAACCAGCAGAATGTCCACACTGCCCGCCCACTCTTGCACAAGATGATTTACAGTAAAGCGTGAGAAGAGAGGGCTGCTTGTGCAAGAGTGCAGTGTGAATGTGTGGCAGGGTTTCTTGTGTAAGAAAGCCCTATGGCTAAAATGACCATCAGAGCTTTCTTGCGCAAGAGCGTCCACACTGCCATGGATGCTCTTGTGCAAAAGCATGTGGTCGTGTGGACATGTTCTTGTGCAAGAACATCTTTCGCAGGAGTTCCTGCAAAAGAACCTGCCAGTGTAGACCTAGCCTAAGGGTTTAAGTGTGCATGTGGTAGGTTGTTGGTTTTTTTAAAAGAAAGTACTGTGGGTCCCTTCTGAAGACCATGGGATTTTTTAAGATTTATTCAGACCACTATTAAGCTTAAGAATCTTGGTCTCTCCTCCTGGGGGGAGATGATCTTTCTGTACTGGGCCTGTATGGAAGTCATTGGTGCTATAATTTAATACAAATGAGTATTTAAGTGAGAGGTCAACTTCTCTGCAGGCATCTAGTAAAAAAGAATGCACAGTAAAACTACAACTTCTCTCCTGGGTGGTTCTAACTTTTCAGCAATCTAAAATAGCCATACAAAATACATACACAACATTGTAGTAAATGGCTGCTGAATCATTCATTGATTTGCGTGTCTTCTGAAGGGTAAGAATCTTTGCAGATTACATCCATTAAAATCTGAAGGCATTTATTTAGCTAAATACTGGAAAATTAACCCCTTGATCTTTAAATATTTATATTAGGATCCTTTCATTTTCAGAGGAAGCTTGTTTTTAAAATGCTTTTATAAAATATACAATTTGCCAGTTTAAATTCCAGTTATTTAAATTGGACAGTACACTAACCTCCACTTGATTATTAACAGGTGTTTAGTGTAAAAACTAAGTATCTATACTTAAGTATCTGATGTTTAAATTTCTTGGAGAAGGGTGAGGAAGGGTGTTTGGCATCTGTCAGCTTCTGAAAGCAGATACTAATACAGATTTCAAATACAATGTAAACTCTGGATGTATGCTAGGAAGCACATAAGATGAAACTGCATTCATTTACCTCTTCTAGAAAGGGGGATTGAGCTAAATGTCAGATTGAAAGTCTCTTGCTTAACTAATGCTCTGACAGGAACTATATGTAAATTTTCTTTACTATTCTGAAGAACTAATGGATCTTTTGGAAAAGAATTGGATGCAGAATTTCTTGTAATCTCATATCGCAAGTGCAGAATCCGTTTACTGCTTCAGTCTAGTTTCAGAGATTCTTTGTAACAGTAATGTTTTTCTTTACCAGTTAATTTGTTGCAAAAGGAGATTCATTAAGTATTGAGAGTCCAAAGCTGTAAATGTTTGAAAATTCATTTTCTCATTGTACTTAAATAGCTTAGTGCTTTTTATTCAGCAGTGTACATTCATGCAAGACCTATGAGTTAGTTTTTGTTTTTTGTTTTTTACTTTTCAGCTGAAGCAAATTCATGTCATAACCTTTTGTGTCTATCACACTTGAATACTAAATTCTGTCCTCAAGCAACTTTTTGGTTTTGTCTACATTGCAGAGCTATCTTGGGATACCAGAAGTATCCTGAAATAGCTATTCCTACATCTATTGAAGCAGCCTGTTTCACAATAGATTTTGAATAACAGGCAGCTTATTTCAATGTCCCGGTAACCCTGAGTTACTTTAAAATTACCTTTAAAGAAGCTATGGAAATTGCTTAGAACAAATTGCATAATTATTTTGAGGTAAGGTTACAGTATAGATGGCACCCTTTGATACCTTCTGCTGCTGTAAGTGCAGTAAACACATGCCAATTTTGGAGTTATCAAACTGAACCACTACTCTTCAGTCTGCAGGGAGGGATGTCCTATTACAATAGTAAGTTTGTAGAAGTTATGCTTCCATCTCCACAATGGATTAACTATTTTAACAAGAATGTAGAAAAGGTTACTGATGTTCTGGAACAGAGGTAGGAAATAACTATTTTGGGAAGCTGAAATCAGAAGGGCTACATCTAGACTGGCCCCTAATTCCGGAAGAGGCATGCAAAGCAGGTAAGTCAGAATAGGGAAATCCGCGGGGGATTTAAATACCCCCCGCGGGATTTAAATAAACATGTCCGCCGCTTTTTTCCTGGCTTGGGGGAAAG